CCCCAAAACCCCAAAACCCCAAAACCCCAAAACCCCAAAGGTGGCCTAAAAAGTTGAACATTCTTGAATAATTAAATTATACCATTAGAAATGGGGAACAATCAATGAAGTAAATACTTTGGATGTGGAGGAAAGAAAAATAACTATGATACCATCCAACTTAACAAGCTCAAACTAGTCGGTGTCGGCGCCTTTGGCCGAGTCTGGGCTGTCGAACTAGTCAAATATACCAGCGAAAAAGAAACCTTTACTGATAATGATAGTGATGACATGGTTTATGCCCTTAAAGAACTCAGCAAACCTATCATTATCGCAAAAGAAGCAGTAAATGTAGCTAATAATGAAGTAAAGATACTCCAAGACATACCTAATAGCAAGTTTATAGTCAACATTTGGTATTCCTTTCAAGACCAAAAGAATGCTTATGTTTTAATGGATTACGCTCCTTGCGGAGACCTTTTATTTCATATGAAACGAATTAAGAGAAGACAGATCAAGAAAGACGAAAAAGGAGGCACTTTGACTGAGCATCAAGGCAAGTTCATGGCCATGTGTGTCCTAGAAGCTCTCAGAACAATTCATGAAGCAGGAGTTGTTCATCGAGACATTAAACCTGAAAACATTATCATAGACTCTAATGGCTATCCAAAACTCGCAGATTTTGGAATTGCAGAGTTCAATGAAAATATTTCTCCTGGAAGCCAATTCGGCACGCTAAGTTATATGGCTCCAGAAATTATCTTTGATCATAAGTATTCCTACACTGCTGATTATTATTCCTTAGGTGTACTGATCCTCCTCATGGTCACAGGAGATATGCTGAGTGTTGGAGGAACTCCGAAAGAAGCTAAGAATGCGATTTCATTAAGAAACGATTCAATCACGACGAAGAAATTCACGAAGAGATATCCATACCTCAGTGAAGAATGCTGAGACCTGATTGTCAGCCTCCTATGCACAAGCCAGCACAAAAGAATTGGAGTCACCGGTGGTGTCGAAGAAATCCTGAAGCACGAGTGGTTTGAAGGCATCGAAATCGAAAGTATTAAAAACCAATCCTATGTTTCACCCATTTATGAAATATGCACAGACCAAAAAGCAATAATGGAACTCACTTCTAATGACTACGACAGAGGGGAGAGCACAAGCTTTTGGAGAAAGAAGGAGAACAAGGCGATGAAGATGATAGCCAAAGCAGTCGATTACGGTAACAACTGGGAGTCCCACTTCACTGCATTCGATTATCTCAATGTCATCTTCGAAGATGAAGATAATCCATTTGAGAAAACAGAAAGAGTGAGGAGGCATACTATGTCATCCATCTCAAAGCAAAGAAATGGGTCTCTTTCAGATATTATTGAAAGAGACAAGCTCAGAGCTGAGCTTAGCAATGGAAATGAAGAAAACCCAAAACCTAGAATGGGATTACATAGAATAAGTGAGCCCAAGAGCGAACAAGGAGGCAAGACAATAACCCCAACTAATGAAAGAAAGAGCATTATGACTGAGGGCAAACTTAGTCCTGATGATAAAGTTGATTCAGAGAAGTCACCTGAAAAATCACTTTAAGTTTATTAAATATTTAAAACAACTCTATGGGGTTTTGGGGTTTTGGGGTTTTGGGGTTTTGGGG